CATGCCGACACGGTATTGATCCACAGTTATCTCGAACCATATCACTAACAGCCCTTATGGTTGAAAGGTCAATCCATAGCCATATCACTCTAATCAACTTACGCGATCGGGAAGTCATTCTACTGTCGATCCCTAGGCTATATCATGAACAATCTTTCGATTGAACCACGATCAACCCTATGTACACTTATTCCGACCATATTGTTCGTTTCATTACCGACCCTCAGCTCGAACTACTCGCTTATTCGTTCACCACTTATTCTTGGCTTCTCAGGCCCAAAATCGGGGATGTCACAACTTGAGTGCCACTTCCGGCGAAAATAGATCATTTGAATGCCATTTCTAACAAACCATTCTACATGAATTTTTTTATTAATTTTCCATTTGATGTGGATTTTTTAAACGTTTTTTATTTTATTTTTTTGAATTTTTTTGAATTTTTCTATTTCTTTTTTATTTTTCTTTTCCTTTGTTTTTGAATGCCGGCGAGGGTCACCGGCTACGAAGGCTTCGCCCAGATTGGGCGACGGCCGCCTTACCCTCGGCCGCGAAGGCCTTAGGCGGGGCCTCGAAGGCCGTTGCCAAATCTGGGCGGCCGCGAGCGAGGTAGCCTCGCCAGATCTGGCGAGGTCGCCTTACTCACAGCCTCGAAGGCCCTTGGCGAGGCCGTTGTGGCCTTGTCGGTCGAGGGTGAGGCGGCGAAGGCTCTCTTGCCAGATCTGGCGAGGCCGCAACAGCCTCGCCCAGGGCCTTCGCAGCCGTGGGCAAGGCGACTGGGCGAGGCCTTCGCAGCCGGCGAGGGTCGCCGGTGACTCTCGCCGGCATTGAAAAAAAATTGCAAAAAAAAAAGGAAAAATCAAAATCAAAAAATCAAAAAAATATGAAAATATTATCCATGTCAGCTCTGGCGAAACCATGTAGGACGATCGACGTCCACGTTGGATTTTCTGGTTGCCAAATGGCTGATGGCTTTCAAGTTATCACTTTTTGCCGAAAGTGGCACTTAAGTGAGTAAAAAAAAGTTATGGCACTCAAGTGAGCGCCGTACGAAAGTTATGGTATTCCTAGTGTCCTTATCCATAACTAAAGATTTGTAAAAATAGATATCAATGGGAGTGAGCTAATGCTTAACAAGAGATAAGACTAGCTTATAAACCGACCGATCCTATTAACTCTTGATTCCTAGGACACATCTAACATAAAATAATTAATGTATCCTATCATGAACGCACACTATCTAAAAGCAACATCAGTAATCACATGTATCATGCCAGCATGCATCATAGTACTAACCATATCAAACATCCTCAATCAAACTCATTTCCAAATCATGGCAATCTATAAGAACAACTTAACAATTTGCAGGAATACCATAAACACATGCCACATTATTTCAATGTTTCACTTGTTTTGTCTCACGCCCGACTCACGGATTATGCTGGTTATTCACCAGTCCGCGCAAGGCACTCCGGATTACGCCGATTTACTAATCGGTCCGGCTTCCGTGGTTTATCGACCATAGACATCTTTACTCCGAGGCATAGTCATTTGCTAATCATGGCATCCCCGCACACAGCTCAAGGGCATCCCGACCTCCTATGAGGCATCATCTGCGCAAGGCCCGATGGACATCTCTTATGGTGGATTCATATCACACAACTCAAGAGCTTTATTTTATACTTGCAGCAACAAAACCATTTCATGCCATACATTTTATCATAGCTAGCAAATACATTGAATAACATGCGTCTTAAAAGTGATTTAACACCTGAGCATCACACACTAGTCAGGCACATCCCAAAATTTCCAGAATTTGTCATCACAAAAGCGGCCTACTTTGCACCACCTATGACATCACATCGAGGTCAATCACATCTCATTTGAATGCTCAGAATGTATAAATTTTGTCTCTAGAAGGCATCAAATTGAAATTCCAATGTTCTCATATAGAAAATGATGAATCTTTGCAATCTGGCAAAACTGGGTAGCTTTGCACTGTTCATGAAATCAGACTTAAAAATATAGTAAATGAACTCCAAAAATTCTAAAATTTGAATATGTCATAAAAAAAATCTTAAAAAATATTTTTTATGAGAACACAAAGTCTGGATCTTTTTGTAAATACAGCTTTTAGTAGCTCAAAGACAGACCAAAAATAGTGCGCTGGAACAGAACTCTTGCTTCTCAAAGTAAGCTCTTTCCAGAACCTAAATAATCTCAAAAAATTCCCATATTTTTATATGTTATAGAGAAAGAAGTTCTAAACAACTTTTGTGAAGGAAATTTGTTAAGAATAATTCTAGAAAAACTTTTGGAAAATCAAGAAAGTGTAAAGGTCATAGAAACAACAACACTGGACGGTTCAAATCCGTTTAAAAATGATCCTTTGTACAAACCAAATCAGCTTAGAAAAATCTAGTTTTAAAGTATGTTATACTTCAAGAAGTTGAGAGAAACTTTGATAAAGAAAGTTTCTTAAAATTCGGTCCACAAAAAATCTCTATAAAAATGGAAAAAAGAAGAGGGCTAGTAGCCGCGTTTCTGGGTTTCAAGAACAAAGCTCAAGGAATTGAGTCCGAATGGAAAATCACCAAATTTGAGTCAACAAAACTCATACTCAGCAACTTGAATAGACATGCAACGCCCATTTCCATCGCTATTCAACAACCTTTATCCATCTATGTCACACGCAACACAAGTTCTTGACCCGAAACCCACATGCAAGACCATTAGGAGCTAGTATACCAACATGCAAGGCCATTAGGACCACAAGCACACTCAATCCAGGTCTGGACAGCCACATGCATGCCCTTCTAACATCATGAAACCCACATGCAAGATCAAAACATCTATCCACAACAACAAACAAGAAAAACCAAGGGCATAGAAAGATGGGTAGACTTAAAACAAGCCCTATCTCGTTGCCTTGAACTATCCGAGGCTGAAACTCTTCCTCTTGGGTGTTGTTCACACCTTCACAGCACCGGAACGAAAGAAAAACGGGCTGGAACAAAGCTTGAAATGGAGGTGAGGCGCAGGAGAGAGAGCGGCTGAGAGAGGGAGAGGAAACCGAGAGGGAGAGGGAGCGGCGAGAGAGAGGAAAAATTTGAAGTGTGGCTTGTGGTGTCTTCCAAAAATGAAAGAGAGAGAGATAAGAGGGTAGGGCTGCCGTGGGGTCAAGGAAAAGAGAGTGTGATGATGATTCTACATCATGAGCCCAAGATAGTGTGTCTAACAAGTCTCCTTCCTTGCATGAAATTTGACTGGCTGATGTGGATAGTAAACATGATTAAATAGACTTAATAATTCAATTTTGCATGCTGGATTTTTGCCCTAGATGGCCGGCCACACGTGGGGGTTAATTGGGGCACAATTTTGTGTCCTAATTACCCAATCCAAATACACCTAAAATCACATAAGACCTATCTCAACAACCATTACAAATGATCACCAATCTTATGTATATGGTCACACGTTGATCTCTTCAATTGTCCAATACATTCCAAAGATTTTCTTATCAAAATATGTCAAATGCCTAATCATCGATATTGCGAGAGTATCTCGACAATTGACTAATCAATTCTTGGCCATCTCCAATTAGCAATTTATATAATGTTACCATAAAATTTGGGATGTCACAACTTGGCCTAGCCTCGAGGGACTCGGGCCAAGCCTCCATGGACTTGGCCACAGGCATCGGGATCTCGAGCCCAAAATCAATGGACGTGGGCGACATCTGTAGACCTAGGCATAGGCACGTAGAATCGAGCTCGGCCTCCGTGGACCCAAGCAGGAGGTCTCGAGCCTGGCCTCGTGGGACCTAGGCCCTTCCTCTGTAGACTTAGGATCGACCGTCAAGGAACTCAGCTCCGCCACGATGGAACCGGCCTAGGCTTTAGTGAATTTGGCACGAAGCCAGGTAATAAAGCATGGCTGTTGATAAGCTCAACCTATGTGGACTTGGCGTTACTCAACTAGGCTAGCCTTGACGGACTCGGGCTCGCCTCAATGGGCCTAGGGCCAAGTGTCATTAACTTAAGCTCAAGAGCTAGGTACTTGGACATGGCCATCGGGGACTTGGACACATGTATCGAAGTCTCGAGCGGAGCCTCAAGGGACCTGAGCTCGACCCCCATAGACCTCGGCACGAGCACCGGGGTCTCAACCCCAACCTTGAGAGACCTGAGCCCAGCTACTACGAACCTAGTCCTGGCTATTGAGGAATGAGCCTAACCACAATGGACTTGGGTTGAGCACTAGTGACTTAAGTGTAAAAGCCGAGTACTTGGGCACAATGTCCCAAGCCTGGCCTTAAGGGACCCAGCCAAGGCCTTTACGGACTTGGGCCCACCACCAAGAAATTGGGCCCTACCTAAAAAAACCTAGAGCCCGACCTCCATGGAGCTGAGCACAAGCATTGAGGTTCTGACCCCGGCTTGAGGGAATTGGGTCTCACCTCTGTGGACTAGAGCCTAATTGCTAATGAACTAGGCCCAGCCTTGATGGACCCAAGCTTGGCGCCAATCACTTGGGCACAGAAGTCAAGTACCTGGCCTCTGTGGACCTAGGCCCAGCCATTGAGGAATTGAGCCCAACCTTAATGGACCCGACTCAAGTGCAAGTGACTTGGGCATGGAGTCGAGGCACAAGCACGACCTTTGTGGACTCGGACATGGGCACCGGCATTCATAGGAAATTGCTCTTTGATTTAATGGGTTGAAGTTGGTTCTTTGCAAACCTAATAGAACCCATCGTTATATGGGTTTATGACTCATTTTACCACCTCTATTCATAAAATATAACAATATTACGTTGATAAGAGAGTTAATTAGAGACGGAACTTTTTTAATAGAATTTTGTTACAAAAAAAAACCCTTACTATACTTGTTAATCAACTCAATAAGAAAATATAGCAATCTCCAATGCATTGACCTTCTCATGAAATGAGAAGGTTAATGCTTGACTTGCAAAAGTTATTGTAACTTTTTACTTTTCTACCAAAAACTAAAATATTATTTAAATAGTAAAAATTGTAAAAAAATTATTTACAAATCTGCCTGTCAACATTTATATATCGTAAAGGACTCAATCACTATAATTCTACCCTATACATAGCAAGTGATCTGTTTATTTATAGAGAGACTATTAGCAAATCTAGCTTTGCTCTTGTTCATCATCAGAATGTGCTCGTACTGCTTTAGCTCTATCCACAGCTTTCTTTGCCTGAAAGAGAAGGAAAAGTTCAGTATAAAAGATGTACAGAATCAATCCACCTTAAGAGAGAGCTTCGGTGGGGGTCAATTACCTCCCGATCCCAGTTGGTACACGCATTCACTGCTATGAGTGCTATGACTTGTACAGAGAGTCCGCATATGATCCCCATCCATAGACCCTGTTCCAAGATTAATAACTTGGACATCACCAATGTCGAACAGCAAAGCTTTTGTGCTCATAAAAGTGTAGAGAGTACCATACCATTCCTCCAAGATGGAAACCAAACGCAAACAGTACGGCACAAGGAATCGCCACAACGTAATAAGCCCCGAGGTTTATCCAAGCGCAGAGATTCTGCCATCCGCATCCTCTTGCGGACCCTGTGATCGATCATTATCATAATCTGTGTGAAGGACTTAAAATTTAATCCATACAACATGTGAAAAGGTTGTGACAACAATTCTTATGCTATCTGCAATCAGGAGATCTGAGATGTACACTGACACTATCCCAAAATGGCTAATAGAGAAAAACATATCTACTAGCTGCCGATAGAATGGAAATCCGATTAGGTGAAGTTGAATTTAGGACCTGAAAGGACACACTGAAACCCGTCCAAGAAATCTGAGAGAGCGAGAAGTGGCATCATTCTGGCGACGTATTCAATAACTTCCTCTTCGTTGCTGTACAGCTTCCCCCAAACATGGCGTACCAAAATCGTCACGATTCCAACTATTGCACCTTCCGTGATGGCGATGGCGATGGCAATCATAACTCGCAATGCCAAGCGTGCCCCTGCACCGCGGCCCGCACCTAATTCATTCGATACTCTCGTACTGCATCAAATAAACAGACTCTCAAGAGAATCTTACATATTAACATTTTTCAGTTTGTCCAAAAGTATTAGGATCAACCCGAGATGTTTATATTTTATCTAATTCTGGATAAAAAAAAAAAAAGATGATCCAACATTTGGCAGTCAATGCATTTGTCTCCTTCTGTACCACAGTATCAAGACTCCTGCGAGCTTGTCCTCATAGAATCCAATCTTTTACCCTCCCCTCCTAGTCTAGGAATTTATCTTAGTGAAGGTAATGCCAAGCAAAATTAGTTCTCTTCTTTTCTTTTTATTTCTAACTCATAGTAAACTGCACAACTGAAGCAAATGACTCAAACAAACCTGATTGCTCCGCCGAGACCGACAGAGATCATGTAGACCATCCAACAAGTGTTGAGGCTGCAAAATTGAAGGTATGAACGTAGTTCTAAACTTCTCATTCCACGAAAAAAGACAGTCCTGCTTATACAAATTCTATTAATTCATACCTAATTGATAACACAGACGTCTCTAGTTTCGGATTTGGCAGAAGACCTGATAGAAGAACGACCAGCTCGAAGGACCAGTACTCGAAACTGCGAAAGAAAGTAAATCAAGAGACAAGTGATGTGAGTAAACTAGTTCAAGGCTAGGACTCTCACTTCTGAAATAGGGGACTTAGATTAATAGTCTGACCAACTATCATCAAAACGCTTAGAAAAAACCAAACAGCTACTAATCTTTTCTTTTGATCATAAATTTTGACATCGCATTAGCCAACACAAACACAAATAGGTACTCACCAAATCATAACTGCTGAAGGAACAGCAAGCTTGACAAAGCTAACAAGGTCAAGCAAGGCCTCTCTTGTGAAACCGGTCCAAGTTTTGATACAAGCTGGAGAGAGCTTCACGTAAATCGCCAGCAGAATCACATTGCTCCAATTCGAAATCGTGTTCGCCAAAGCAGCTCCTCTGATTCCTAGTCCAAACTTAAAGATGAAGACCCAACAGACGACTATGTGAAGAGAAGCAATAACCAGAGAGCTCATCATCATTGGTAGAACGTTATTTTGCGTCTGCAAGAACCTGTTCAGACATTGGAGGAGGCCATACGCGAATAGACTTGGGATCATCCAACAGTTGAAAATTCCCGCTTCCCTGGAAATCTCCACGTTTTGGCCAAAAGCTATGAGAATGTCGGAGGTGTAGAGCCATATGACTGCAAGAGGGATGCTTAGGCATAGAAGCGTAAGCATAGCTCGCTGCGTGTGAACTCCAAGCATATGATACTCTTTGGCTCCATAGGCTTGGCCACACAGTGTCTCCAATGCACTTCCCATTCGTAACTTTAATCAGGCATTTTGATCGAGACATTTTAGTTTGCAAACAAAATGAAGATCTAAGTATACACAACCTAGGAATCATGCTCAAAGTACAGTCGACCTCAGCAGATGTAACATGTCATTTCCGCGAGCGGTGTCGCGCGTGGAAATTCAATACCAGAGAAGCACAATACATGTTCAGAGACAAGGATACCGAAACTCTAAAAACACATTTTACCACTTGCTTCTTCAAATTCAGTACTCGAATGTGGCCTCGAGGCAACAAATTGAACTTATTTTCCTTTCCAGTTTCCTTAATGTTACGGTAAAGATGGGTATTATTGTGTTAATACATTTCCTGCCTCGCTCAATTCCCGTGTTTCGTGCTGATGTATCACCTCCTTCAGAACACATTTTCCTCAAACCATTTTGTCAAATTTCTCTCTTTCTTTCGACTAGCAAGACCAACATCATCAGAAGACAAACCCCGCGCACACACAACAATAAGAAACGAGAAGCAACAGGAACATCAATGGCGATGCACGAGAAAGCGACGGAGTAGAGAGCGGTACCAAGACGCTGAAGCCCGTGACGGAAGCAAAGGAGGTGGCCATGGACGCGCCGGAGAGGGGGAGCTCCCCGAGGTGGCCCACGAACATGACGGAGATCACCTGCACGCTGTACTGCAGCATGCTCACCCCGATCAGCGGGCCCGACAGACTCGCCTGCCGCTTCAATTCCTCGATCATGATCACGCGACGCTCGTCCCTTGGAACCGAGCCGGGTGAAGGTTTTCCGCCGCCGCCGCCGTCACGCTCGAGATCATGGCTTTGGATCAGAGGAGATTCAAGAAGGGACGCTTCATCGATTTCTTGATCTCCTCCTCCTCCTCCTCCTCCTCTTCCTCCCATTTTCCCGGGTTCCGTCGATGGGGAGCCCTCTCTCTCTCTCGAGAGAAAATAATATGGTTTGCAAGCGCCAGATCAGCGTTGACGTGGCGTGCGCTTATTTACTGATATCCAATGAGAACTTGACACGTGGATAGTGATATGGAAAATTAAAAAGAGAAATTTCTCTTTTTCCTCTTCCATCTTCAACCTCCGCTCCATCTCCACCGCCCAAGCCGCCACCGCCCACCGTGGCCGCCACGGTCCGCGGCAAATATGGAGATGCTGCAGCTCGTCGCCGGAAGACATGGCGAGCCAAGACTCGAGATGCAGATATGGAGACGCTGCAGCTCGTCGCCGGAAGCCACGGACGAGCCAGAGGACTTGAGATGCGGAGCAGCGGGTCGGCCATGGACGGCCTCTCGTCCGCAGATCTGAGCGCCCGACTTTCTCTGCCATCCCGGCGGCTGAGCGGCAGATTTAGGGACGCAGAGCAGTGGCCTCGCGGCCAAGGCTCCAGATCTGGTATACGCACTTTCAGCCCATGGATTCTCTGTTGAGTGGGTGGAAGGAGAGAGATCTTCAGCCATGGCTTCTTCTCTCCTCACCAAATCCAGCCCCTCGCCGCCAGATCTGGAAGTGAGGCACCGGGCGGAGGAGACGGCCGAAGTGGAGAGATGCGGCGCAAGCCAGCTGTGGCGGAAGGAGGTCAATTTTTTAATTCCAGGTGTCAATTTGTAATTGGTTAATAATAATAAGCGCGTGATGCTCGAAAACCAAATAAATTTGGATTATATGCTACTTATGCTATCATATATTTACTATATATCGTAATATAGATGCGGAATGGAAATCATATAATATAGAACGATGCCGACTTCATACACGTCTCTATATAAATATTTTATTCACAAATCACAATCAAACAAAGTGTTCGCAGATTATAGGAGAAAAACATTAACAGTTGAAGAGACTTGACGGTGTCTTCAATTATCAGTGGCAATAATTGCATTTTATATGCTGGCATCTCAAGGAAAAGACAGAGGAAGAGGAATACAAAAACAAATGATGATAGACCAAAGCCTAATAAGACAGCAGCGAGGGGTTGTCGCACATCAGCATGCGGACAAGAGCTAAACTTGCACGTGTGGCGAGACGATAAATGTTTTCTGTCAGCATCCGAGAAGCCGTGCATGTAGCATCTTCTCCTCCTCCAACCATCAGATAATCAATTTTATTTGATTGGATCCATCAAATCATATTCTGAATTAACAGAGAGAGAGAGAGAGAGAGACCGCATGTTATAATCTCTTGATGGCATTGGCGAGTAGAAGACAAGAAGGGCCGACACCTATTCGCCATTTGCATTTTCTTATAACATGACATCAACATCATGACTGGTCGTAAAATCGTATCATATCATTCTAACGTGTCGTCGCTGTAAGTGTAAGATAATTGTAAAGAAAAAGAATAGCGACCGCCATTATCTTATTAAATTATAAATTGCATGCAAATTGCTATGAGTCAGGGCTATATGCACAGACCAAAAGTCTAGACTTAATCGATGTATGGGATGCTCCACGAGCCTCCGAATAATCGGCCTTTATATAAAGCAAAAGGAAGCAAGGCACATCTGGTATGACACGTGTCTATGAATACGTCAAGAAAAACTGCTGGCACTAATTTGTTTCGTTGTAGAAGCAGAACATTTGCAGTTTGGCTCCTTTTCAACTTTCAGCTTGAAAGGGATTCTGCCTGAACAAGAAGGTAGAAAGAATCTTGCGCACATTGTGAGGGCCCTTTGGTTTCTTGGCGATAATCTGGCTAGACTACTTATCGTCAGTGGCTGCTTATAGGCAAGAAGCGTTATTAGCTTTGGATCTTGATTTATGTTCCATGTTGCTGAGGTTTAGAATAAATCCCGCGATTTCTTTTCCTTTCAAAAAGACGGTGAAGCACTTAATTTGAAGATATCCCGAAGAGGGCTCTCCGCTGCAACACGATAGCTATAAATGATAATGGCTAACAACATAACTCGACTCGCGTATTTAGATTTATTCGTCTAGTTCACCAACTAAGAAACGGTATCTGAAAATGACCAAGAATTTAGGTACAACCTGTCTAATAACTCGATATGATAAGCATTTTCATTTAGGGCAAGGCAATGAAATTACCCCCAAACTCTTGTTTGAATGACTGATGTTCATGTTCATATATGACTTATGCTTGAGATTATTGAATGCTGGCTGATGTTCAGGGGCTAGATATTTGTGCGGAAATGGTGACCTTGTTCAGTGAATTTGAGTGTGAATTGCATACGGCTGCAGATGCCATGTGTGATCTAATGCAATCTATGAATGTGACATCACTGAAATCAAGAACTAAACAATTAGAGAGCTTGTGAATTGCAATGATCATTTTCTCAGTTGGAGCTCTGCTTGAGCTCAGATGATCGATCCATTATCGGCTAAAAAGCTTCCGTCAAATAATCTCTCCCTCGCTTTGCTTGCCTGCAACACCAAAAGAAAGTTCAGCACCAACTTAATTCCTTGATGGCAATTCCCACTATCATAGGTGAACACGGAGTCGAATACAACGGGAATTATCAAGAGAAACTGCCAATCGACGTAACATGACATGGCACAGCTCTACACATTGACGTGAATTGATACCTAGTTCGGTGATAACAATACTTCATAATTACATTAAAACATTTTCTAACATGATTAACTAGCATGAAAATATCCAAGACCAATCTAGATCTCTCGGTTGAGTGCAATTAGTTCCTAAATCTTCTTGAATATTACAATCAAGTCCTTACGAGGCAGCAAGAAAAATTTCTAGAGGACGGCCTACAGAGGTTGCCACTAAGGAAAAATCGAAGAATTGATGACAGGAAAAACTTAGATTGCACTTCCAATAAAAAGCCATATAACTTGTGACGATTGCACCGTGAAGAAAGAGGATCTAGGGCTGTCCCAAACTCCTGCTCGTCTAGTTTTATGAAGGTATAGCTGCTAAGAAGTCATCCCTAGGGCATGTTGCTGATTTGAGTAGTATAGGAAAAAAATAAATTACCAGCTTTTCCCAATTTGAGCAACAGGTCACGATTGAGAGCAACGATATCTGTACAATAGCACCCACTTGAATCCCTATCCAAAGTCCCACTCCTCTCAACCCCACCCAAAAGGCCAAAGTTGCAGCAACTGGAATTCCACACAGATAGAATGCCCCCAGGTTCACATAAGCTCCAATATGTTGCCACCCACATCCTCTCGCAATACCTGATCGAGCAAAACAACATCACAACAAAAAACCGATTGCATTATAATCGCTCGGGGAGGTGATCGACTTATCTAGTGTAGGCTTCCCTGTTCCTAAATCATAGTTCCATGGGTCTATCGAGATCAAGTCCAGACAAAGTTCTCTCCAATGATACAGAGAGGTTGAGTTATACCTGCAAGGACACCTTGGAAGGTGTCTATGATGACAGAGAGGCAAACAAGAGGAGCCATCTTCGTAACGTAGTCCCCGACTTCCTTTTCGTTGCTGAAGGTGTAACCGAAGACTTTCCGGGTTGCAAATAAGACCGCGCTCACGATACTTGTCTCGGTGACTGCTATAAGCATCACTGCATAGACAGCTACACGAGCTGCCTGCGCATTTCCTGCTCCCAATTCGTTGGACACTCTCGTGCTGTTATTGAAGAAAGACAGCGAAAAAGAGTTAGGGTTCTGTTAGAACATTATGAGTGTACTATGGGGGTCAGTCTAACATGCCCCAAGAGGCTACAAGAGGGGTTTACAAACCTTCCAGCAGCTCCAACTCCAAATGGTATTGTGTAAAGTGTTGATATCGTTGAGAGGCTGTTCATGAGATTAAACAGAAAAGCAAATTAGAATGCGAGATCAATACACAGCTCTAAAATCATATGTTGGTCAAGTCATGAAAAATGTAACATGGAAGACCGGACATACCACACAGAGAGAACTGAAGTTTCAAGCTGTGGATTCGGTAGAAGCCCAGAAAGCAGGATGAGCAGTTCAAATGACCACCATTCAAGGCTACAATCCATCCAAATGAGTACACAGAAAGAAACTCCATCAACAGACAATATCTTAAACAGTAAAACAAAAAAGATGAGTTGAGTTCATTTTCCAATCAAGAGGAATGCAAGACTAATGCTAAGTGTACATTGAGCAGTATAATAAATTGATACATCAAGTGATGCGGTAGACTTCAAGAGAAACAAGTGGGTCACATTCAAAACCCTGTAACAATCCGTCATATCTGTTACTGCTAGCATACAAAATACGTAAAGTAGTCTTACTAGACCTAGCATGAGTCATCATTCAATATAAACAGCATATACACATGCACTGCTACTAGAAAACAAAGAAATTCACACAGAAGTAGCACTTAGGCATGAACATAAGTTACCAAAGCATGACAGCTGATGGAACAGCGAATTGGAAGAACTCCGGAATGCCTCGGAATATCTCCATTGACACCGGGACACGCGTCTTCCGGCACGCGCTAGAGAACGTCATGTACAGCCCGAGAAAGATCACATTCAACCAATAAGAAATTCCCAATGCCAATGCGGCTCCAAGGTTATGTAGCCCGGACTTGAACACAAGGACCCAACAGAGAGGCACATGTAAGCAGAGCATGGCACAGGAGCCTATGAGCATTGGAGTGGTGAGGCCCTGGGTCTGGAAGTAACGGACCAGTGGCTGGAGCGCCGCGTACGCAAAGATCGCAGGGATGAGCCACACTATGAACCTACCCGCCTCACGTGAGATCAGCGGGTCTTGGCCCATCAACACAAGGAGTTTGCCCATGTAGAACCAGAGGAAAGAGAGAGGGACGCACACTAAGGTCAGAGAGAAGATCGCGGTGTACGTATGTGTTCCGAGCTTTTGGAATTGTTGAGCTCCGTAGGCTTGTCCGCACAAAGTTTCCAGTGCACTGGCCATGCCAAGCTGTTGTTGCAAATTCATGAACTAAAAAGTTTAGCCATCTATAAATGAAACAATTTTTGTCTCCCATACACTGTGGATCAAAATTCGTTCATAAAGACTGGTCTGAACATATGTTTTATAAAAGCAACCAAAATTGGTGGAATGGACAGTTTTTATGTCAACAAGCAGGCCCATCATCATCCTTGATCAGTTTTCTAACATAGTACAATTGCTTTTTCTGGATTCTCATACACAAATGACTATGTGCAGTGTGTTTTAAAGAAATAACATGAGCAGCTCAACTGACAGAAGAGCCCAGAATGTAACAACCTCGTCTCAGTACTGTTACATGTACAACTCTAGGAACCCACATAAAAAGCACATAGGGTCATGCTAATAATAAATTGATTGATAAAATAATTTTAAGAATTATTATCGGTCAATTGAGTATCACTCACTTTAAAAATTTAATAGCGTGATTTTGTCCCATCAGAGTCAGATCCTATCTTTTTCACTGTTAAAGAGCGTGTCCCTGACCAAAGAGAGAACGAGCTTTTTCCCAACTCTCACCAACTTGGGTTAAATCACCATTAACTTTTGGAACAGTGACCAGCTTAAAGCGGACCAAGTATTGACATTGTCAACAAGAAGACAATACTAAAGTAATCGCCATCTTGGACTATTATTCAGCGCCAGTTATGTGCCTATAATGCCCTCGGGAAT